CGTTCCTTTATTGTCTTTCTTTCGAGTTGAAATTACCTGCCTGATTTTAGACTTTCTGCTTTTAAGTGATTTCAATCATGTTCTTACAAAAAGGGTGAACTTTATTCATGCTTCCAATCTTTTAGAACGCTAACCATTTTGTGTAGTCCTTTTTTAATGAATATGTACCTCTATGTTTTTGATAATTGTAATGATAAGTTATGAATTATGAAAAAGTGTTGTGTATCGACCTGATGTGAATTATATAATTATAACTATTAATGGAAGAGGATCATTAAATGTAGGGCATTTCTCTTTCAAAATCAATGGTCAATTTGTTACAATCTAACTCAAGTCAAATTGCAAAAGTTGCATTCTCTATGAATTATATAATAGGGGTACCTCTCCACTTTTATAATCTCTTGATCAAGGGTCAAATATGTTTTTAGTCCTCCTTCGGATTGCTTGCCAATTGACCTCAATTAAAGGTTAATGACTCAATTGAAATCCCATCATAAGCTCAGGGACTAAGTTTGACATTCTTCACCCATTACTTTTAAAGGACACCCTTTGTTTCGTGGAGTCCCAAGACAGAAGCCTTTTCTGAAGAGAATGCCAAATACAGAAATATTGATATAGTTTTAAAATCGGGAATTAGAAGCCATTTTTGACTCCACTGGGTTAGATTAGACTGCAACTTGATGGAAACTGTTTTAGATCTTCTATTGAGAATAATGGATTTTTTAGACTTATTGGATGCAAAAGTCATGTTCAAACAACTTGAATGTTTTCTATATGTGTTCATTTTAACAGTTGAGGAAGAATGCATTGAAGATGTTTGCTTTATTGCCTCTGAGAATTACCCACTTTGAATTGAAGGGCTAATTGCTATCCGTATAAAGAATTTTTTTTGTTGTCATTAGTTTTCTCTCCTACTTTTGCTTTAGGATGTTAAGAGCAAAACTTGAAGTACTTTTCAGCCTCATGGTCTCTTGCTTTCTCTTTCTTTCTCTTTCTTTCCTGATGCTTGTATGGCTAGAGCCAAATACTAGCCTTGCCTCCCTATTTCTTCTTGTGGAAACCTCAGTATCACATACCCTTTTCAATTAAATACCGATCCTGTTGTGTGGTGAGCCAGGGTATGAGCTGGTATGCGAGAAAAATTGCACAACTTTGGTCACAAAAGAGGGGAAATTCTTTGTCGAGAACATCACAAACTCTAGTGTTCGACTTGTTGATGTCAGTCTTCACTGGGATATGTGCTCCATTCCTTGCAGTTCCCTTCTTTTTGAAGGCGCCTGTTGGAAAGTGCATCTTTCTAACTATCTTGCTTATATTTTAAATTGCAATATACAGATGAATTCATCACTTTGTGTTGATGCCTCTGCTTGTACCAATAGCACTTCCTCTCCATATTATTACATTTTTGTCTTCAATGAACCAGCATGGGTATCTGATTTCAATGAGTCGTGCACAACTGAAGCCGAATTTCCTATTTTTTTCTCTAATATCACAGGTCTAACTGCTTCTGATATTTACCATAAGCTGCTAGAGGGTTTTGAACTGGATAGGGATTGGTTCTCCTTGAATAATAA